TCAATGTGGATAAAAATTTATATCATTAAACTTTTACAAAATTATAAGTAAATGGTTGAAAATTTTTAGGTCGATATAAGACTATAAGTTGTCACGGAATTAACTCAAATTAAAACATTAAAGTATTGAGTTTATAATTTCACCATATGTCTCGTGCTTAGCTCATTCATTACTTATGTGGGATTTTTTGTCATTTACACTTAAATTTCCAATAATCTTTTCTTCAAATATGAGTCTTATAACTATCAACTCTCCTCAAGTGAAAGTTTTCTTAAGTATTGATAGGGTTATCAATTAAGAGTGGTCAAGTATTAGTTTCACAATATGGATTTGGAAGCCTTACAAACTCGAATACTAACTACCATATTCAAATATTCGGTACACATGAATTCTGAACAACAGGACCATAAAAATAATGTATGTAATTCTTCACAATACTAATATTTTTTTTTCACTCCATTCGAAGATAAACCACTCCCTCCAAATTTCAATCACATATTATAATAAAAAATTTAATACTATAAAAATTATATGTATGTGCGATAGTGTGTCACGTGCATGTCTGTTAACCATACTTATATTTTCTTTTGACCTTTCGTTTTTTTTTTTTTTTCAAGACCAAATTCACTCTTTATTTAAGTTGACTATACGTACAGAATGGTGTGTTAGTGCAAAATTATAGGGCCCAAAGTTACAACTAAGGAAGCATGGGCACTTGTAAAAACACGAAGAGTTGGGTCCGACACGCTCTGACACGGTGTCGGACACGCGGTTGACTTTTTCCGACACGTTGACCATTCTGATATGCGAATTTGACCGTGTCCGACACGGTCAAATGGCATTTTCGTAATTTATTTTTTATTTTTATTTTTTAATTTTTTAATTTTTTTTTAAAAGTTAAAATATATTAATAAAGCTTCCACCTGATTATATCAATTTTATCTTTTGTCTTTTTTTCCCTTAAATAGATAAGAGATCATCTCAGCATCATTGTTGTCAATTCCTATCACGCTCTTGTTGTATCTTCTTCTCTCTGATCTCTCTCTAATATGATTTGATCTCTCTATCTGATATTATATCTCTCTCTCATCTCAGTTCTTATTTTTTTTATTAAAGCTTCCATCTTTATAACGTGTTGATGAGTATTATTAATTTAGTTTCATTTTTTTGTTAAATTATTAAATATTAAATGAAATATACACTATATAAATTAAAAATATTATTTAATATTAAAACGTGTCCCAACGTGTCAAAATCCATAATTTTTTAAGATTGACGTGTCGGAATATCGTATCATGTCACATGTCGCGTGTCGTATCAACCATATTCGTTCCCGTTTTGAAGCGTACCCAAAGGCAAAGTGGATGTAGTCTCTCAGATAAGTTTCAACTTTCAAGCCCAGTCAAAAAAGTAAATAAATAATACTTTTCTCTGAATAAAAGACAAAAAAATCTATGCGCCACGCTGGCACTGCCACAGTAACTTCTTCAAATTACGAATAATACTTTTCACTCTTTATTTAACTTCTTTTCACTACCACCACACCTTTACCAATCATTCTTACTAATTCAAAAAGTGGAAACGGCTGCCATTTTTCTTGCGTTTTTACTTTTGTTTCAGTTCTTATTATTCTCTTACTTGTCTTCCTAATATATTTTTATTGTGTAATTTATATGTTTATTCTGTCATTTTTAATTTACGTAACGATTTACAATGTTAATATATGATCTTTTATCCTTAATAAGTGTTATACACATCATCATAAGAGTACACCTACAACTAAGTTATTTTTTATCCTTTACAATGTGGAGTTGTTTTAAAAACAAATTATTACGGTTGTTTTTATTATTTTATTATTTTCAAAATTATATTGGGTTGTGTAAGTAGTAGGTAGTTATTTAATTTATTTGTTATTTAAATTTCAATTTTGCTAAAAGATAAGCAATGATTATTAGTGGAGTCTATTTAATATTAGTCAAAAATTACTTTTATTATTGACTTGTATTATCTATTTAAACTTTGAAATATTGAAATAAAGATTATAAGAGAAGAATAAAATGTTTTTACACTTGTTTATATGTTTGATTCAGGATTTCATACCTTATTTTATTTTAAAATAGGTGTACGTAACAGTTTAGTATCAGAGCCAACACAGACAACACGCATGGAGAAACAATTAGAAAAACTAGAAGATGCAGTGCGGACACTTTCCATTCAATTGAAGGATATGTTCACAAAACTCTCCAATAGGATAGATGTTTTAGTACCAATCACCAAACTCTCCCATATCTATTGTTCTCATTTCATTTCTAAAGCTTCCACATAGTGGCGAAGCTATGGACAAGACTCAGCTAGTGTCAAAAGACCCAACTAGTTAAATTCAGCTAGTACCAATGATGTATTATTTTTTAAAACATAATCAATACCAAGGTTATACCATAATTTTTAAAGAAAATATGTAGCATTTTTAAAATTAACCAAGTGGTTGTGCCACTATTTTTACACCCAAACATTTATCTCTTTCTCTCTCCACCAAACGAGCAACCCTCCTTAACACTACCATTTGTATTAAAAATTTGAATGCGATCAAAGTGTCTCAATTAAATAAGGCCCCTCAATCAAGATCTCAAATATTTGGTCTAACGAGAAATTCACTTCTACAATTCTTTGAAAAGCGAAACGAAATAGTTATGGTTAGAGGATATTTTCCAATCAACAACAATGGAAAAGCAAACATGGATATTGAAGATGATTCAATTACTTGATGTTGATCTTACTCTTGAGGACAAGAGTAATTTTTAGGGTTTGAATGTTACGGTTGTTTTTATTATTTTATTATTTTCGGAATTGTTGGTTTGTTTAATAGTCAGTAGCTATTTTATTTGTTTATTTTTTGAATTTCAACTTTGCTAAAGATAGGTGATGGTTATTAGTGGAGCCTATTTAATGTTAATAGATAGTTACTTTTATAGTTGACTTGTATTATCTATTTAAACCTTGAAATTTTGGAATAAAGATCACGAGAGAAGGAGAAATCTTTTGTACACTTGTTTTGTGTGCTTGAGATAAGGTTCCTCACTTGAACTCAAATCTCCTATTTTATTTTAAAATAATTGTACATTACTCAAATATTTTTAAAATTCTAGCAACGATTTACAAGGTTGATTTGTCTGATTTACCATGTGTTGTAAGCTCAGTAAAAGTTTAAGTATAGCTAAGCTATTTTAAATTTTATGAAATGATAATTTCCTTTTCAAAACAATTAATAATCTTTTACAAAAATTAAAATCAAACAACACACAAATATTTTATATAGAACGATGTAGTTTTGTGTTTTCTATTGTACCGGGGGATACGTTATAGCGGAACCTTTTTCGTCAAGTATAAAAATATTTTTATAATTTAGTTTTCTTTGTAAATAACACATTCTATTTAATTTAATTCATTGGGTAAGAGTATGATAGTTAAAATTCCGATTTAAATTTTTGCTTTTACGATTTTACAATTTTTTTTAATCAAAATGATTTCATCAGAATTCCAAATGCTATTATATTTTTATGATTTTTTACAATTTTTTTCACGTTTTATGATTTTTTTATCCTCTTTCTGATTTTAGGTAAAATCTCAATCTTAACTACTATGGGTGAGACACGATATTTTGAAAATTTATTAATAATTTGAGCTATTAATTTAAGGGGGAAGGTTATACTTAGTATATTTTTTTCTTACTACCAAATCTTAATCGTTGATTTCCGTCAATCTAATTTTTATAATTTATTAGAAATTAATAATTAATTAATAAATTTGACTCAATAAATTATAACCGAAAATCAATAGTTAAGATTTAATAGTAAAATGTAGTAAAAAAAAAAAGATAGTAAGTACAACTTTCCCTAATATACCATTTTTAAAAGTGTAGGATATTAATATCTTCGCTACTCCTAATCAATTTTCGAATCTGTTTTTATTTTCAAAGAAAATCTTTCTTAAAAAAAAGAAGATTTTTTAAATATTTTTTCAAATAAACCTTGATAGTGGCTTCATTATTTTTAATTTTTTTGCCATCATATTGCGATTCATCACCGACAATATTGTTAGAAAAAAAAAAGTCAAAAAGGCTGATCTGTACCTGAAAAAAGTTTTAAAAAAACTTCCAATGTTTTTCAAACACCAACCGTTGTGCCCACTGCATCGAAGACGGATACACGGGCTTTCATAGACGACGAAACGGTATTTGTAATTTCAATGCCAGATTTTAAAATAACTAATATAAATTTTATTTTAATTTTAAAATTTTCATCACATTAATAAAATTTGTTGTCACAAGATTCAAGTATTTAGAAGAGGGTTACATTTTTCTCATGTTGTAAGAAAGAATTATCTTCTACAAAAAAAATAATAATTATATATTATAAGTAGTACATAATTATAATCTAAAATTATTTTTCTCTCTCCGTCACGTCAGCCGACAATATCTGAGGAAGAAGAAATAATTTTAATATTATAACTATATAATATTTATAATACATAATTATTATTATTTTTTAAGAAAGATTTCTTCTCCGGCAATATAAAACAATGATTTTCCTTTAAAAGATAATGATAACTTTTACTTGAAAAGTCAAAAAAAAAATTAATATTTTTTCTTATTATGTTTGTTATATATTTTAGCACGGAATTAATCATTAAATTTTTATTGAAATTGTTCTTTAAGATATTTTCTTTTGGGATTCAAACTTTCAAACACATTTAATAACGAATAATGATTATAATTTATAATCATCTTACATCACAATAGTGTAAACGGAAAGTTTACAAAAAATAAATAAATTATATTTGTGTAAGGGGTGTATAATATTATTTTATAATCATACACTAAGACGTAATCTAGCAATAGTGGGAAAATAATTATAATCAATTATAATAATTAAACACAATTCCTTTTATATGCAGCAAGTTATTTATGAAACCGCAACCTAAGTTTTAACCTCGGAGAATTTCCTTTATTCTTTTGATTACTCGTTTTCTCGGTCCTCTCTCTCTCTAGTTACGGAGCACAACTTTGCTGTCATGAAAGTTGAGCTATGTTTGTGATATTACGAGGTAATCTATGAAATACCTTAGCACGTCTTTCTTGCTTGCCTGAGCCTCTATTGTTTATGTTTATTATTTGTCTTGTTTCTTTTTCTTTTAATGTCTCTGTTATTATTTTCAGTTCTCACAAACCGCACCAACGAAATAACACACTAAGTTGATACTCGAGGTTTATACGAAGACCCATTTCCCCAGGTCATTTTTCACACGTGGGTTCTACCTATTCCCTCAAGTTTTACATTATATATGTCTTATTTATAATCATTACTTTGCAGTTTGCATGCTTTTGCATTTCTCTTTCTACATATTTTTTGGTGCTGTCCTCCTCTTAGATTCTATGCGTTTATTTACCTCTCTTAATTTTGAAGTTGATTGATGGGTTTGCCTTTGAATTATCATAGCAACTTCATTGTGATTGGTTCAATCATTTCCACTTGGCTTCTGATTGTTTGGTTCATATAATTACCAAGGTAGTTTTTTTTTTTTTTTTTTTTTTGGAAAAAACAAAAAAAAGTTATTTCGTATTTGGTTTTCTTGGATTTTGTGATTTCTTAATTGTTTATTTCAAAGTGTTTAATCACTACTCAAACATATCTTATAACGTGGAGTGCTGATCTGGGTTTGAAATTGGATGTGGATATGTAGTGTTCGTTGTGCGTGATTAGATTTTCAGAATGTGCTTTTTACTTGGGTGGTTTTCTTTGCGCTGATTCGCATCACTTTTTTTTTATTTCCCTTTCATTCCCGCAACGCAATAGTAAACTTATGGAAAATATGAAGGAATTACATTTTCTGCAGTAGTGTATAAATATAAACGAATTTCTTGGTATGATAGAAAAATAATTACATCTACAGTTTACAATTATTGCTTTTTCTCATGGGATTTATATAATTTCTTGTTTAACGGTATGAAGGTTTGACATATATGTATTGCCTCAGTTTTGTTCATGAATATCAGTTGGTTACCGATTCATTTCATGAGTGAATGAATTACTTCTTTGGCATTGTTTTCCTAACTCTATTGTTCACCACGAGGAGCAATTGCAATGAGGGGCAAGAATATGCAGTGTTTATAATAGAGAAAGCTTATTATATTTTTCTTTACTCAATTTACTGTCCAATATTAGCAGATGGATTCTCTTTGCTTTGATGAATACAAAGAAGACGTTGAAGTGAAATCTGCTGAAGGATTTCTCACTTCTGATTTCTCTGGTGTGGATGATAAATTTGGAGACCCGGAAGTGCTCCCTCGTGTTGGAGACCAGTACCAGGCAGAAATTCCTTCATTGATTGCAGCACCTCATCTTTCTCAGCTTATAAAGAAGTCAAGAGATTCAGAAATCTCAGTCAATATGCCAGAGTCTTTTTCACTAGGATTACCCATTCCTCTTAAGTGGGCACATTGTAAATTTGAAAGCAGTTGTGGGACTTCAGAATCTGTCACAAGTGAAGAGGGGCAAGTAATTTCTGAGAATGAATGTTCAGAAGTTAAACTTCAGACTGCTTTACTTGGTGAAGGAAAAAATGTGGGAGGGTTTTCGAGTTTTCAATCCTTTTCTAAAGGTGATGAGACAGATATTGACTCATGCCCGGAACTGAAAACTGAACTAGATCAGCCAAGAGGGAAGTATCTTCTGCCTGGATTGTTGAGTGATCAATCTTGGACAGATACTGAATATAACAGTTTTCTTCTTGGCCTCTATGTATTTGGGAAGAGTCTTAATTTTTTAAAGAGATTTGTTGGGAGTAAGAACATGGGAGACATACTGTCTTTCTATTATGGAAAGTTTTTTAGGTCCAAAGCATATTGCCGATGGTCAGAGTGCCGGAAGATGAGAACTAGGCGGTATATATATGGCCAGAAAATATTCACAGGATGGAGGCAACAAGAATTGCTATCAAGATTATTTTCCCACGTCCCAGGGGAGTGTCAAACCATATTGGTAGAGGTATATCTCTGACATGCTTTACTGTATCCAAGTCATCTTCATACATAATCTGGAAGAAAAGGAATTTCCATATAAATGTGCACCTGGTTAAGTAATGTTCATGCTGGATTTAAACATTATCAGATTTTTAAGCATTGAATTTGCAAGCTGTGTTGGAATTATAACAATAACAAGTAGTGATATAAGAAATCCTTTTGTAAGTTTTGCTGACTTGAATATATTTGTTTAAAAGGTGTATTAGTTAGATGATGATTTTCGATGGAAGTTAAATAGTAACCATCAGCAAGCTTGAGGTTATATGGTCATGCTAAGAAATAATTGAAAGAGATTATTTCCCCAACTTCTGTTTGTTATATGTACTTGGTTTTTTATTCAAGCCACAGACACGTGTGCGCACTGTCTCTATCTTGATTATTGTGGATTAGATTATTGTCTTTTAAGAATGTCTGTAAGCTTCTTGAAAATTGTGGCTATCTTGTGAAGTAGTTTTGCATGAAATAGCCTGAGGTAATGCTAATAAGTGAACTTGCAACGAATGAAATTGATTTAAAAATAAGCACCATCCTATCATGAAGTCTTTCCTGATATGTGGATTATCATGATACTTATTGAAGATAAGCAATGCTATATAGTAGGAATTTCAGCAACAATTTGCTGTTATGTTGGTTGTGAAAGCTGCAATATGAATAGCTATGGTAATTAATGGAAACAAATTAGACAAAAATTCGAAATCAGAAAATGGTTATCAATATCATGATTAAGGTATTGCGGCGTAGACGATTGCCTGATAATCAGGCATTTACCATTCTTGGAAGAGACTAAGTAGCAGAGTTCTAAGTTCTTTATTTGACAAGTTCTCCTTGCTCTCTGAGTCTCTATTCTCTATGCATTTGGATATTTTGATACTGTTAACAAGGTTGAGTTTGTAACATTTACCTGGAAGTTGTAGAAGTTGCCATAGTCATTCTGTGCTTTTAGTATTTTGATACAATTGTAAATATTACTTACTGCAGATTTCTAGGAATTTCGGGGAGGGAAAGATGCCATTTGAAGAATATGTATTTGCTTTAAAGGATGCTGTTGGCATTGACTTGCTTATAGCTGCAGTAGGTATTGGCAAAGGGAAGCAAGATCTCACTGGCACAGCTGTTGAGGCAACAAAGGCCAATCACATCTTCTCTGTTCGCCCTGAAATACCAATTGGCAAAGCTTGCTCCTCACTTACATCTGCAGATATAATCAAGTTTCTCACAGGAAATTTTAGGTTAAGTAAAGCTCGTTCCAGTGATCTCTTCTGGGAAGCTGTTTGGCCTCGTCTTTTAGCAAAAGGTTGGCATTCTGAACAGCCTAAGGATCATGTTGTTTCTGGGTCAAAACAATCTTTGGTTTTTCTTGTACCTGGTGTTAAGAAATTTTCAAGAAGGAGACTGGTAAAAGGTAACCACTACTTTGATTCTATAAGTGATGTATTGAATAAAGTAGCATCTGAACCTGGGCTTCTTGAGACTGAAATTCAAGCAACCGAGGGCAGTGTAGATAGGGAAAACAGGCAAGACAAACGAGACCAAGATGGTCTGTCAAATAGGCAACAAATTGTTTACCTTCAATCTCATAGTTCAAAGTGCAATCAAGATCACATGAAATTTACAGTTGTAGATACCAGCATGGTTCATGATATGGATCCACATAAAGTGAGACAGATGAGATGCTTACCTTTTCAAACTATGAGTATATCTACCATCTCAAGCTGCTCTAGTGAATCAGACCAAGATACATCTGAAGACTCAGAAGATCAGGTTGAGCAAGCTAATGCTTCAAGCCCTATTGAAGATCACGTTGAACAAGCTAATTCTTCGTACCCTATTGATGATCAGGTTGAGCATGCTAATTCCTCAAGCCCTGTGGAAGAATTCTCTGATAAAGGGGCGAGCATAGACTCATCAGATTGTACTCGTACTCCTGAGGCCCTCAACCCCACCAAAGTAGAAGTCAAAAATCATAAACTTCATTCCAATCTGCATAATTGTGAGCATTCAAGGGAGATCAATGAGCATCACTTGATTCAAAACCTGGCATCTGATTGCACAAATTTTTTTCCCTACACCACGACAATGCAGAAGTTAAGAGCTTGTAACCATGTAGAGTTTAGCCACAGCAGTGAAAGTACTTCTGTGGACAGAAAGTTCGATTTGAATGAGCCAATATCACCATCAAATCTTCATGAAGAATCTGAGGGCATGGTTTTGTCTGTGGGTTCAGAAAACTTGTCTTTCCCAAGTTATCTGGTAACAGGCATTCCAAACATGAGCAATAAAGCCAGTGCCACTGAGAACCACCTGGTTGGTGAAAATTCTGCAGAAAATTCTGAAACCAGGATGTTGATTGACTTGAATTTTCCTCAAGTTTCACCTGAGTTAGGAATTGAAATGGAAATACCATCCTCTATGGTCATACTTCAAAATGACAACCAATGTGCAAATTCTTCGTCCTCTCCGTCTGAGATAACCCAGTTCAATGCAATACAGGAATTTCCTGAGGGCCATAAGGAGCAGCAATCTGTCATTGTCAACCGTCGCCAGAGCACAAGGAACCGACCATTGACCACAAAAGCATTGGAAGCTCTTGAATACAGATTTCTCAACTCAAAGAGGAGGAGAAAGAACACAGAATCTTCAGACAATAATTCAGTCCCAATGTATACGTGTAAGTAGTGGGGAAATTGTTAGTGCTACTTGTGATAATGGCATTGGGAATTCTATGGCTGATACAAGAGCAGAGGAGGAGAATGTTATCCGGGCATATAGCTGAAGCCTCACTATAATTTGTGAAAACGTTGAGCTAGCTTCTTCTTGAGGGGCATCAAGTTCATAAGTTGAAGCTGAACTGGATATAATTTCATTGTTTCATATGTATCCATCAACCATAACTATACATGAAGATCAAAGCTATCAGACTATATTCACTTTTTCCTTCTTCTTTTTTCTTTTTTCAAATTGTGACTGATAGAATAATAAAATAGCATGAATGTTGATCATATGATTAATGATTTAAAGATGAAGGATTATTTGTGATGAAGTTTTTGGTGCAGTGGCAAAGTCATTATCTTTAACAGGAATTATACCATTGTCCATTGGAAGAGGAAGATTAATCAACATAAATGGTAGTTTCTGTTTCATATCAGATTGATAGGAATATCAATTAAGCTTCAATGAGTACAGAATTGTAGCAGCCATCTCCATAAGCACATTTTTGTCTCTAGGTGATCCATTTTATGAATTAGTTTCTGTTTCATATTACGTTGTGATTTGCAACTACCTTAGATTTCATCTTTATTAGTACAATTAAGAGAGTATTTGTTAGGTTTTTGGCATTTCATATAAATGCAACACTCATTCAATGAAGTAAAATCTTTTGCAGTAATTGAAGACTAGCTACGTTGACGGTTAGTCCAGTAGTGTAGTCCCCACCAATTGCCATTAAAAGAAGGGTTTTATAACAGTTATGTTATAGGAAAAATGATGGTGTAATGTTATAGATATTCGTTTTGCGTGCCGAAATTTTCTTTTTTTCTTTTTTCTTCAAAAAGTGTGGGTCCCACAAAATGTTGTGTGTATAGAAAAGTTTGTTGTGTCATGTTAAATGACAAATGCAAACTCCTTAAACGAAACACTTGGTTACTTATTAATGATCTTTATAAGGGTCCTCATTGTGTCATAAGCAGTTTTAAACCTACATTTGATAAATCGACACAATCACATGAAACATTTTAAGTGGACATTATCGACTAGGAATCCAATGTGCCCAAATCATTGACATGTCAATGGCCAAAATTTCGTATGGTCCATTGCAGGCTTTTAGTTTGATGTTCGATTCAGCAAGGTTGATGATATTGTTAAGATAAGAACCTCGTCGTCTCAAATATTGATACAAGAACTTGGATATCAATTTTTTTATTTTTATTTTTTTGAAGATATTTCAATCGGTTCATTGCTTCACCGCAACTAGTCTAATTCGAGGTGGGTCCAGAGATTAAAGTTTTAAACCTCTCTCAAAGACGATATCGAAAACATACTTTCACCTTCCCTGACACCAACTTAGCTACCACCGTTTGGTTCAATTTATTGTTTTTAATGCAAGGTTCTAATAAAATTTAATTAATATTCAAAGTCTAAAATGAAATTGAAAATAAGTTGGAATTCCAGTTTAAAAACTACACGGAAATTACCCAAAGTTATAAAAGTTGATTAGTTGACTAAAAATGAAAATATAGTAAATTTGAAAAGAAGTCGTTTCAGATATATTTTTTGCCTTAATTAAATTTTAGTTCTTATAGTATTTATCTAATTGGGTTTGGGTCTTTATAATTTTTTATATATATTAATCCTTATATTTTTATTTATTTGAGTTTTAATCTATGAGAAACCAACACTATAGTAAGTGAAAATTGTAAGGAGAAATTAATATTTCATAGAAAATAAGGACTAATACATTAATAATTAATATTAAGTATAAGAATTAAAACTCAAATGAGTAAAAATATATATAAAGATTGATACCTTAAATATAGGAACTGAAACTTGAATGCGTGATAATTCAATAATACATCTCATTTGTGATGATGAGAAGATTTTCCCATCTCATTATATCTTCACTACCTCCCCCATATATATATATATAGAGCCTTCATTATTGTGCCATGTTAATCTAGACTACTAGAGATCAATTCAAGAACTGCGTAGTCGAGGCGCCAGATCAATATATACCTGCTCATTAAATAATTGAAATCAATTGTTTAATAACATTAATGTTAAGATAATGGAATCATTGACATCAAATTCCCGACTCTGAAAACTGCATGCAGGTTTGATAAACGACTAAATACTTAAAAATAAAGTTTTATAATAATTATTTACCTAATCAAACACGTCCATATCATCAATACTTTATGCATTTCCTATCCTTGGATAAAACATAAACAAACTGTTAGAGCACTATAAGACAAGCTCATTGGAAAGAATAATCCACGGTTGTCACCTACGTTGGTTTTATCTATATAGCTCCTTTGTCTATGTCAATTAGCAACTAGATCAATTAATAATTATGAGGAATTAGAAACCAAAATTCCGTGGGATGTGAATTTGGCATACCATAATTCAATAAAGAAATATGTGGGATATACTTGATATAAATGTTGGCAAGCTTCTGTCCCTACTTTGTTGTAAGTATGCAAGCTTCATCAAATATATCGATCTTTATATCGATAATTTCTAAGATGTCTTTTTCGTCGTTTTTATTATTATTTGATATTGAAAAGAGCATTTGCAATGAGAAGCACTACAAATTTGATTGACTGAAAATTTGAAGCTTAGTTTATGTCCCCTTGTTTTACATTAAGCGTGACGCAACATTTAAAATATAACACAAACAAAGGGCAGTGTAGAAACTTTCTATAGCGATTATGACTGCTTCAAATAATTATAAAAATAAAATAAAATTATTACATTAAAAAAAAGCGTGTGGAAGTATGACTTGAGAGACATCTCTACGCAATCTTAATATTCTCATATAACACGTTATAGCATTTGTTACAGCAAGATTTAAAAAGAAAGAATATTTTACAAGAATTAATATTTAACTCATCTTGAGAAGATCACTAGCAAATTTTGCATTTTTCTTCCACGTAAATGTCATATTTAAACAATGGAATATTAAGGAGGCCATAGGATACTCTTAGTTAATGTCGTTGCCCTTATGGTAAGTTTGCATCTAGGTTAACTCCGCAACAAAACCTCTTTTATGTCATTAGTAACTACTTCTAGACCATTTTTAATATGGGGATACTCCTACGATCGAATGGTTCAAATGAGACGTGGAGAGTGTTGGGAAAACTCGGTTCCCTCAAGTTCGGTTTCTACAGCCTTTTGCGGAAGTCAATCAACAAGATCCTAATCTCGGATCTCGGCCTGAACTTCACCAGGTCGGACAGCGCAGCGGAAAAATCAAAACGAAAACAGGAGAGAGAGAGAGAGAGAGAGAAAGGGAACACAACCAGTTTTAACGTGGGAAAACCTTCTTCAATGAAGAAGTAAAAACCCGCGGGACCTAGTCCAGATCAAAAATTCACTATGAAAATAATGGTTACAAAATAATCAGAATACACCAATGTGGTGGTTAACTCAACCTCTCCAACAATGGTGATAATCAAACTACCCTAGAGATGTTTCACTCAAACTCTCTCTAGAGATCTCTCAAATGCAAAGCATGAAGCTTTGCTCAAACAATCAAATAATTATCTCTCAAAATTTCTCTCTAATCTTTTAACCTAGCCTCCACCCACAACTAATGAATATATAGAGGAAGTGAGATCTAGGGTTAGGGTTTTTAGGAAACCCCTCAATGGGCTTGGGCTTAGCATTGAAGGAGGAAGCCCAACATAGAGTTCGGTTCATGATGATATTTAGTCATTTTCTTGATCTTTTTCTATCTAAATAAATCTGAGTTTAATAACACTAACATGAAGGCTGCGGTTAAACAGATTTGAACAACTTGAATACACACACACATATATATATAGGAAAATGTTATATTTACAAACTTTTTGTTTAACAAACTCTTACAAATTACACTATGTTTGACCAGTCGTACATTGAAGTTTGACTAGTCATACTTAGTATAGTTTGTAAGTTTATAAGAAAAAAAGTTTGTAAATATAACATTTCTCATATATATGTGTGTGTGTGTGATATTTTTACACTGGTGTAAGAATAATAAATCTTATATTCAATCTTAATCGTTGATTTTCGTCCATCAAACGACTGTAATTGATTGTGTTATTTTTATTAATTAATTATTAATATTCAATAAATTATATCCGTCAGATATACGAAAAGCAACGGTTAAGATTGAGTATAAAATTTATTATTCTTACACCAGTGAAAATTCAAGTAATTATTTTCGGGATGAAAATTAAAATAAAATAATAAATAAAAGCAAACTTCCTCGTGCATCTACTTGTTTATCTAATATAGTATAATTTAAGGGTTTTGTTTATCTCATTTTACATGAGATAAACAATTTTCCTATACACACAAAAAGAGGTTGGGTCCCACCATTTTTTTTCTCTCTCCTCTTACATTTGAGTCCCACTTATACTTTTATTTGTACAGCATGAGATAATTTCTTTCCTACAACATAAGAAAAATATATCCCATAATTTAATTTTTTGCATTAGTAAGAAAGTAAAAGTTGAGTTCTGTTGAAAATTAAGAGAGGCAGACTTCAAAATACAAGAATTCTTTGCATATAAATGGTTTAAAAATCTGTGGATATATATGAGGTAAGATTTAAATGGAAGGGAGAGAAATTAATTGTTTAGGATATGAAAATAATACCAAGAAATTAGGGGCATTTGCCAACTAGTTGTCTTCATATGAGCATTATATATATATTTATATGATGCCAAAGAAGACCAGCTTCCAATATTGGTATCATGGCATTGGCAGCAATAGCTTTCTAATTCCTCAACAGAAACAAAGGAAAACCCTTTAAGTTTTTGTCTTCCTCTTGGGAGAAAGTGGATTCTTTGTAATTTAGAGTTATAAACCAAAAAAAAAAAAGCCCCGTCACCAATAACAAGAAAATTAGAACGATCAGAGAAGACACAGAGAAGCTTCTATTAACTTTTTACAGTTAGCTCCAGTTCAAATGTCAAATATTTCAGGTGATGATGAAGGAAGCTTCTACTCTGGAAACAATGGAGAAGAAGTTCATCAAGAAAACGAGCAGCAACAACTACAAAACCACCCTCATGGCTCAAGTTCAGGACCATCCGGTGCTTGCAATAGCAATGGCTCCACTAATCAACAACCATCCAAGAAGAAAAGAAACCTACCTGGAACCCCAGGCAAATATTCATTTTTTGTTACTGCACTTAATTACAGGCTAACAAATCGGGATTTTATGTTTGAATTACTTTGATTAGTGAAAAACTCATTATGTCTATTCAGTAATTTACTGATAATGATTATGGCTCAAGTCTTAAAGTTGAATTTTGCTTTGAAGTGATAATGATGTATACTAGCTCTACTCTCTACTGGTCAAATTCTAGGTAGTCCTTTGCAAGCTTAAACATTGAATTATAGTTTGATAGAAGGTAGGTTGCTGCATTAAGTACCGATAACAATAACTGTAAAGAACTTTTGCTTTATTAAACTTATGATTTTTAACTTTGTTTATTGTAGAGCTATATATCCAAGTTATCAAGAAAGCACCGTGAAATAATTCTTATGCATAATCTTACTTCTTTGAAATAGTTAATTATCTGCTCAGTCTTTCCTGATTTTAAGAAGAGGGATTAATCCTTAATTTAGTATACAGATGGCGGCTAGCATATATATACGGGCTTTATGTTTATCATGTGACATAATCTAATTCCATTTTCCTACACACACATCAAAGAGGTGGGGTCTACATTTTTTTTCTTCTCTCTCATCATTTCACTTTCTCTCTCTTTTTTATTGTGTGAGTAGGAAAATCAAGTTGGGTTATGTAACATAATAATCATAAAACCCTATATATTATTATTATTATTATTTGGCAAAAGTCCTACTAATGAATGTGTTTTATGAAATAGATCCCAATGCTGAAGTCATTGCTTTATCACCAACCACATTAATGGCAACAAATAGATTCGTATGTGAGATCTGCAACAAAGGGTTTCAGAGGGACCAAAACCTACAGTTGCACCGCAGAGGTCACAATCTTCCTTGGAAACTGAGGCAAAGAACAAGCACTGAGGTGAAGAAACGGGTCTATGTGTGCCCTGAGCCATCATGCGTCCACCATAACCCAGTTCGTGCATTAGGATGATCTCACTGGCATTAAAAAGCATTATAGCCGCAAGCATGGTGAGAAGAAATGGAAATGTGACAAGTGCTCTAAAAGATATGCAGTCCAATCTGATTGGAAGGCCCATCAGAAAACCTGTGGCGCTAGGGATATGACTGTTGGATAAGATTCTTGGATATTTAATTCTAAATTATAACTACTGAAGAAGAGTAATTCTGTTAATTTATCTTATTGTAATAAACCTTGTCTTATGAGCTTATAACTACAAGCATGTACAAAGTTTCAAGATAAACTACAATACCATCAGTTTATAATGCTTATAAGAAGATATTCCATTCCTTTTCATTCCTCTAACACGTAAAGAAGAAGATATTCCTGGGCTTCTCTCTCTTATCTCTATTTTCTTTTAGTTATTCCTTCCTAGTCACTTATTTTATCTTTGTTTATTTTTTTCTTACTTACCTTTTATTTTACAACACTTCATCGGCACGATCAAGCCTCTAGTGATATAGCAGCATGATCAAGTCTCTAGGAGGCGTTTGGTTCAGGAAATTTTTTTGGAATAGTAGGAAAATGAGATAGATAGAGAAATGATTGGAAAGATAGATAAAGTGAGATAGGTAGAAAAATGTAAAAAAAAGTTGTTTGGTGAGGAAAAATTTTACTGGGAAAATTAGGTAACTTTATGAAATCAACAGTGCATTAAAAGCCAGATAACCGGTTTTCCGAAAAATTCCATTTTCAAATTGGGTTTCTAAACAGTGCAGATATCTATGTTTCTCATAAATTCAGACAAATTGGATAGATGGATTTTTGGTGAAAAACGTTGAAACAAACATGATATTTCTAAAAGCCATACTTGAGAAAGATAGATATCCGCTGAAAAGCTCCCAACCAAACACCACCTAAAGATATATCAACATCCTCTTTGTTTTGATTCAAGCAAGAGTCTCAATCAACTAAGTGATGACTTTGATCAAGTTGGATGATTTATAAAAGGAGCAACCTTTCTTCTTTGATTGATATATTTTATGGCTTAATTTATTCCTTTTTCCCTTTCTTGATGCTATTTCCAATATATATGTACTTTTGTATTTCCTTTACAGAGATTTGACTATCAAGTACTAACATATTTTATTTTATATTAAATTTGTAATTTTGGTGAATTCCTGAAGAAATTACATTTTAAGTATCCTTGAAGGATTGCAAAATTATTTAATGGAAATCATTGGTCATTATTCATAATTGTGTTATAGTTCCTGAAGAACTAGAGATTTAGACCATGATTGAAAAGATCCAAATTGATCAATAATTTGAAAGAAGAAAAATGAGAGAAAACAAAAATGAGAGAAAACACTCTCAATATTTTATGCCTATTGAATATGCTCTAGCAGTAGCAACGTTGAGAAAATGGTTCAAGAAATATTATGAATCAAGTTTGTCCATTTTTATGATTCAATATAAGAACAAATTATCGATGAAAAATCGTACCATAACGCTTACAAGTGATTAAACTCTATTCCCATAAGTGAATATTTTAAATGAACACATTTCAACTATGAATCAATGGGCTTAATTATATTCTCAGAAGTGAATATTTTGAATTATAACTTTAGACATGGAAAAAATTATGGTTAGAAACCAATGACCTTAAATATGACTAACACAAGTGTCAGTACTAGATTTTGGCACTATAAACTTGATGGAAAGCTCTAGAAAAGCATGTAAGGTATTATCTGAATGAGTAAAATTATTAATAAATGGTTCATAATACTCTGGTGGATCAATCAGAATAATAAGCTTTAAAGGTATATGTCATTGTGTAACGTCCGGCCGCTTGCAAGATCGATGATTGTCCCAACAAAGTAACACAAGACTTTTTAGTATGCTTTGTCGACCTCGCTCACACATTTTTTGGGAAAACTTCCTAGGAGGTCACTCATTTCATAATTGCTCCAAGTTAAGTACGCTTAACTATGAAGTTCTTCTGTTCCGGGCTACCAAAAAGTAGATTCATCTTGTTAGTATAGGTATAGTACCAATTAATTCTTACAAGTTATCCTCAATTGTACAGTCTCATACTTGCACAGTCTCTGAAATCTCTCTCTTTTGGGTGTTGATTCGATTCATTCATGTACTCCCTCAGGTGCAAGATTTGACATGAGTCACTCATTGTTCGTGCCTCTTTTGCACCGACGATCACTCCCTACCCTTATTAGCCCTTAGGATATTACACGTTCCTATTAATATGGTGCAATTGTATATATTTGTTTTCTTCAAATATATTGATGGAATAAATTATTTGATTAATCGCCAAAAATAATTAATAATTTTTACTTGATATATATGAAAATATAAATTCATTTCAATGCTCTAGAAGAGCTTGAGCTATGTTATGTGGAAGAACAAAATTACTAATAAGTTATGTTCTATACTATAGTAAATCTATGAGAAATCTACTAAGAATTAAAAATATTTGATGCAATGGTTATCAAATTGAAACCGTGGGTAGAAATAATATTGAATTTCTTTATATCACAGCTTTTGGACTTTGCCACAAAACTTTATCGAAAGAAGTGCAAGTCTTCTCTTATGGATTGTATTATACAAATATAAATTTCATTGAAACTAATATTCTTACTAACCATAAGTTAGTTGATTCAAAAATTTGTACCCCTTTGCATGAGAAATAAGATCATCCGATGAGAAATAAACTAGGTAAAGTAAGAATTTAGATACGTACTATCATTATAGTATGAAGAAAATGACATCGTATATGTATCTCTTTTTTTTGGTAAATAACATTGTATATGTATCTATTACATGATAAAGTATTGCTTTGAAAATTATTTATTTAACCTTGACCTTATTAAAATGATGCACTTGTATGTATTTGTTTTCTTTAGACATCTTGATTGACAAAATATTTGATTGATGAAGAAAATTGTTTATAATTTAAACTTGACATTTCACATGCATTTGATTTATCATTTCTTTATTAATTTGTGATATTTTTAGTAAATTGCATATTATATTATTTTTATTTATTTATTTTAATTGAATAAAAATAATATTATCTATTAAAGATAAATTATTATATACGTTGATACGATTAGTTATCCAGACAAATAAACCTCATGCAAAATATCTATCTTACATACTATTAAGCTAAAAAAAATATTGTTTGAAATTGATATCTATCATGTTAAAAATATTAATACTTTTTTTTATAAACCATAGCCACAGGTATCCTCCACGGGAGGCAAAATTGTTCAAGGTGGATCCAGGATTAAGGCTTTAAACCACTTCCAAAGATGATATTGAAGAGGTCCGAACACATTCTCTCACCCCCACCTGCTCAGCTCCCATGCGCCAACAACTGAACTACCATCAAACAAATTTTATTATTCGACAATTGATTGGATAGGATATCTATTGAAGAACTATGATATTCTTTATCATAAGGAATTTTCATGTGTTAAATATTCTCAATGTAAATTGATTATAAGGTATCACAAACTAAAAATATAGTTGAATTTTTTAGAATTTGTAAAATATATTGAATATGGTGTTTATGCACAATATTATTGATCTTGTAGACTATTATGATATTTTATTTCTCAATGTAAATTGATTACAAGGTATCGCATATTTATTTATTTTAAACTCAAAATTTTGCAAAAAGTTCTTGCTCAAATAATAAATTAAGATCAAGTTTGGTAATCATTCCATTAAAAGAGCTCATCTTGATAAAACATATCAATTTACTTCAAAAGTATTTTGTGATTATTACATATCAACATAAATTAGTATTGAACATTTTAATGCATATGTTTATTCTCAAAATAATTAAGTTGAAATTTTTATTAATCGTTTAAAATTTATTTATATTAAATTTTAAACGATGCTATTGAGATTAAAACTTACACTAGCCTGAGAATATGCTATAGTACATGTTACACTTACCATTTGTATCCAACCATTTGTGTATCATAAGTTTTCATCTTTTTAAATTGTGTTTGACCAATAAACTAATATACCTCATCTAGAAAATTTTGTTTTCAAATAAAGCACCTAAACTATAAGACAAGTAAGCTTCTCTAGACCATACAAGTGCACGCCAAGCCCATCAAAGGATTTGATTAAGATATGTCATATTTCGCCACGTATACAAATGGAAAAAGCAATACATGCCCTCCAATCAATGGCGGACCTACTTGAGGGCCATTGTCCGCAAGTGCGGACATAAATCCATTGAATTTTTTTATTTATTTTTTAAGCATAGCAGTGAAGCATGATGTTGGTTAGATTAGGCTTTTGCTTGGATATGTAATGAGGGGTGGAATGGAAAGGAATGAAATATGATGGTATGGAATGGGATGCCATACATTTTATTAGATATTTTATGATATCATACAACAAATCAGCTTGATTAAAAAAAATGTGGGGAATAATTTCTTATGTTAAGTTGAAGTTTTTTTTCTTTTCTTATTTATATATTTTTTTAATGTATTTAAAATTTTCTTTTAAAAAAAATTCAGGGGCGCTATCCCCAAACCCCGTCACTAAATATGTGGAGATAAATAATATTTTCTAGGTCCGCCACTGCCTCCAATTATATCTTTCAATCATCCACACTAACAATTCAACTCTCTCCTCCAAAAGGTGATTTGAATCAATAACCAATATAATACTTGTGGGTGAAGTTACATTAATAGTTTTTATATATCTCTAGCAGAGAAATTAATATTTCATATAAAATAAGGACTAATATTTTAATAATTAATATTAAGTATAAGAATTAAAAATCAAATGAGTAAAAACTATATAAAGATTGATACCTTAAATATAGGAACTGAAACATGAATGCGTGATAATACAATAATACATCTCATTTGTGATGACGAGAAGATTTTCCCATCTCATTATATTTTCACTACCTTCCCCATATATATAGAGCCTTCATTATTGTGCCATGTTAATCTAGACTACTAGAGATCAATTCAAGAACTGCGTAGTCGAGGCGCCAGATCGATATATACCTGCTCATTAAATAATTGACATCAATTATTTAATAACATTAATGTTAAGATAATGGAATCATTGACATCAAATTCCCGATTCTGAAAACTCCATGCAGGTTTGATGAACGACTAAATACTTAAAAATAAAGTTTTATAATAATTATTTACCTAATCAAAACACGTCCATATCATCAATACTTCTTAATTTTATGCATTTCCTATCCTTGGATAAAACATAAACAAACTGTTAGAGCACTATAAGACAAGCTCATTGGAAAGAATAATCAACGGTTGTCCCCTATGTTGGTTTTATCTATAAAGATCCTTTGTCTATGTCAATTAGCAACTAGATCAATTAATAATTATGAAGAATTAGAAACCAAAATTCCGTGTGGGATGTAAATTGGGCTTACCATAATTTAATAAAGAAATATGTGGGATATAATTGATGTAAATGTTGGCAAGCTTCTGTCCTTACTTTGTTGTAAATATGCAAGCTTCATCAAATATATCGATCTTTATATCGATAATTTCTAAGATGTCTTTTTCGTCGTTTTTATTATTATTTGATATTGAAAAGAGCATTTGCAATGGGAAGGACTACAAATTTGATTGACTGAAAATTTGAAGCTTAGTTCATGTTTGATATTCTAGTTTATGTCCCCTTGTTTTACATTAAGCCTGATGCAACATGTAAAATGTAACACAAACAAAGGGTAGTATAGAATTTTTCTACAGCGATTTTGACTGCTTCAAATAATTTTATAAAAAAAAAAAAAAAAAAAAAAAAAAAAAAAAAAAAAAAAAAAAAAACCGTGTGGAAGTATGACTTGAGAGACCTTTCTACGCAATCTTAATATTCTCATATAACACGGTATAACATCTGTTACAGCAAGATTTAAAAAGAAACAATATTTTACAAAAAATAATATTTAACTCATCTTGAGAAGATCACCAGAAAATTTTGCATTTTATTTTACAATGTCATGTTTAAACAATGGAATGTTGAGGAGGCCATAGGATACTCTTAGTTATTGTCATTGCCCTTATGATAAGGTTGCATCTAGTTTAACTCCGCTACAACCCTCTTTTATGTCCTTAATTAGTAGCTACTTCTATACCATTTTTAATATGAAGATATTCCTTCGATCGAATGGTTCATATGAGACGCGGTTCATGATGATATAGTCATTTTCTTGATCTTGTTCTATCTAAATAAATCTGAGTTTAATAACACTAATACGAAGGCTGCGGTTAAACAGATTTGAGAGCACGTTGAACACAACGTTAACACAAGAGCATGATCTTTTAACTCTAGTATAAGATTAAGAAGTCTTATTCGTCAGTCGTCGATTTTCAGCCTAGCAGTTGTAATTTATTGAGTTATATCTATTAATTAATTATTAATTACAAATAAAATACAGTCATCAAATAAATGAAAATCAACGAGTGAGATGTGGAGTAAGACTTTTTATTCTTATACCGGAGTCAAATAATACTCCTTCAATCTTAGTTGTTGATGTTATTTATATCTAACGATTCTAATTTATTAAATATGTGAGCTGTTTGATAGAAACAAAACAATGACCAATGATATAAAAATAACATGATGGTGTGAAAATATGAAAGCTAGTGGCCAAATTCAACTATTTATTTTGCGGAGGAAAATTAAAATAAAATAATAAATAAATAAAGCAAACTTGCTCGTGCATCTATTTGTTTATCTAGTATAGTATAATTTGTTTGCATTAGTACGAAAGTAAAATCATGTTGAGTTCTATTGAAAATTAAGAGAGGAAGACTTCAAAACACAAAAATTGTTTTGCGTAGATATTATGTGAGGTAAGAATTAAATGGAAAAGAGAGGAAAGTAATTGTTTAGGATATTAAAATAATACCAAGAAATTAGGGCATTTGCCAACTAGTTGTCTCCATATGAGCATTATATATATTTATATGAGGCCAAAGAAGACCAGCTTCCAACATTGGTATCATGGAAGCAATAGCTTTCTAATTCCCCAACAGAAACCAAGGAGAACACCTTTTGTTTTTGTCTTCCTCTAGGGTGAATTAAAGTGGATTCTTTGTTTAGAATTATAAATAAAAAAAACAAGCACCGGATTTTAGTGAGCTCCATCACCAATAACAAGAAAATTAGAAAGATCAGAGAAGACACACAGAAGCTTCTATTAACTTTTTTTGCAGTCTCCTTCTGTTCAAATGTCAAATATTTCAGGTGATGAAGGAAGCTTCTACTCAGGAAACAATGGAGAAGAAGTTCATCAAGAAAACGAGCAGCAACAACTACAAAACCACCCTCATGGCTCAAGTTCAGGACCATCCGGTGCTTGCAATAGCAATGGCTCCACTAATCAACAACAACAACAACCATCCAAGAAGAAAAGAAATCTACCTGGAACCCCAGGCAAATATTCAACTACCCCAGAGATTCAATTTTTGTTCCTGCACTTAATTACATGTTTGAATTACTTTCATTATAGAAAAACTCATTATAACTATATTCAGTAATTCACTGATGATGATTATGGCTCAAGTACGATCTTAAGTTGAATTTTGCTTTGAAGTGATAACGATGTATAGTAGCTCTACTCTACTGGTCAAATTCTAGGTAGTCCTTTGCAAGCTTAAACATTGAATTATATATAGTTTGATAGGAGGTAGTTGCTGCTGCATTAAGTAGTGATAACAATAACTGTAAAGAACTTTTACTTATCAAACTTATGATCTTTACCTTTGTTTATTGTAGAGCTACATATCCAAGTTATCAAGAAAGCATCATGAAATAATTCTAATGCATAATCTTACTTCTTTGAAATAGTTAATTATCTGCTCAGTCTTTCCTGATTTTAAGAAGAGGGATTAATCCTTAATTTAGTATACAGATGGCGGCTAGCATATATATTATTATTATTATTATTATTTGGCAAAAGTCCTACTAATGAATGTGTTTTATGAAATAGATCCTAATGCTGAAGTCATTGCTTTATCACCAACCACATTAATGGCAACAAATAGATTCGTATGTGAGATCTGCAACAAAGGGTTTCAGAGGGACCAAAACCTACAGTTGCACCGCAGAGGTCACAATCTTCCTTGGAAACTGAGACAAAGAACAAGCACTGAGGTGAAGAAACGGGTCTATGTGTGCCCTGAGTCATCATGCGTCCACCATAACCCAGTTCGTGCATTAGGTGACCTCACTGGCATTAAAAAGCATTATAGCCGCAAACATGGTGAGAAGAAATGGAAATGCGACAAGTGCTCTAAAAGATATGCAGTCCAATCTGATTGGAAGGCCCACCAGAAAACCTGTGGTACTAGGGAATACAAATGTGATTGTGGAACCATATTTTCAAGGTAAACTCTTACATTTTCAAAAAAAAAATATATATATATACATATACAAGGGAAGTATCTATTTATAAACTTTTGTAAATTACACTATGATGTACTCCTAGAAGTACATAGTGTAACCTAGTGTATTTCCGGAAGTACATAATATAATTTGTAAGAGTTTGTAAACAAAAAGTCCTTAAATATAATCCTCCTCGTATATATATATATATATATATATATATATATATATATATATGGGTCATGTTATATTTACAAACTTTTTTGTTTACAAACTACACTATATCCTCCTGTACAATATGTTCTCCCGGGAGAAGATAGTGTAATTTGTTGTAAAAAAATTTGTAAACGGATCATTTTCCTATATATATATATATATAGGTGTTTATATTTCTGCAGCTGTTGTACGTGCAGCAATCAAATACTTGTCATATATATATTTGAAAGCATTAAATGCAGAGAATCATAACCATACAAAAGATAAAAGCATTAAATGTGAGAAATCATAATCATACACCTATCGTTGTTGTAAGTAAAGCCGCTGCAAAATTTCTGATTTTAAATTATATCACCATTGAATTGAGGAGGCTCTAAGTAAAGTTTTTTTGTAGATAACATTATTCTGTAAACACACCATTAAGATGTCTTCTTACATGTCAATCCATATTTCTAAATTGTGCAGGAGAGATAGTTTTATCACCCACAGAGCTTTCTGTGACGCATTAACTGAAGAAAATAACCGAGTGAACCAGGGATTAACAAGTGGCATGCCACTAAACTTGCAAAGTCAAATGCCGGATCTTATGTCTACTATGCCTCTAACACCAAGGTCCAACAATATCAGTGACTATGACCCTAAGAATCCACTCAAATCTCTCCCCCAAGAAGTTGTCCCAATACCATTCAAGTCCATGAATATGGGTGGTGGCATGTTCTCCACCAATGCAGGTTCACTTTTTGGTGGTCCAAAAAGCATGTCTCCCTCTTCTTCTAGCCTTCAGCTCAGTTCCAATAGCTCTTCTGGCTTCAATAATTACTTGCAAGACAGCAAAAATGGAGGACTAATTTCTGGCTCAGCTCTCATGTCAGCAACAGCTTTATTACAAAAAGCAGCTCAAATGGGTGCCACTGCAAGCAATAGCATTAACTCCCCCATGATGCAAAAAAGCTTTGTTAGTAGCATGGTTGGTCCTGATCATGTTTCTTCCACTAAATCACCATATTCAGGTCCTCATCATCTTCAGTATAACCCTTCATATGACCACTTTCCTCCTCATCCTGATGTATCTAACATGGCTGGGGTTAGTGGTACCCCTGCATTCACCAACCAATTGTTTCAGAAAGGACAAGAAGAAATTTCACAACTACTTGTTACTAACAATGGATCTACAATGAATGATATAGGTATGTTCAGCCAAATGTCCATGGGAAGTGACCACAATAACCCAGGATTGATGAAGAATGTGGAACAAGAGATTAGTAATAGTCCAAGTTTGATTAATGGAAGAGATGTAGCAGAAGGTAACCCAATGGAGCCATCAAGGTTTGGAGGGAGTGACATGACAACAGTTCATGACTTCTTGGGCATTGGGGGTTCACCTTCAAGAGCAATGAATTTGCATGAACCACAACAACAACAAAGATTGGAAGCATTAAGCCACCAGAGGTTGGAATTTATGAACCACTTTCATCACCATCTTCCACATGAGGATTCAACTATGGAGAAATCCATTTGGGATGTGTGAGAGCTGACACAAGCCATGTTCCTTTGGATTGTGTTTATCAAACTTAGAAATTGGAAAGCCTGTGATTCTAATTAGACGTGATTGGAAGGTTTTATTGGTTAGAACTGGATACAAAACAGATTATTTAGCCAATTTCATTGAAGCACCTACCTTTGAATCAAATAGTTATTCAAGCTGATAAATTGATTCAACTTGTCTCTACCTTAAATATATGTTCATGAAAAGGGGAAAAAAATAAAACAAAAATCGATTTAGGATTAATTGTAACATTTTTCGGTTTAGAATTGGGTTTATAAAAGATTTTACCAGCTAAAATAATGATCACTTTACGTTATCATTTTTCAGGGTTCAAAAAATCAAAGAAGAATGCATATGAAATCAAGTTTAAGAATATTAGCCTGTGTGCATTCTCTAGTGTGTCAGATATCTTTTTAAAAAAATTACACACAAAAATTTATGTAATTATTGCAAATAAGTTATCTTTATTTACTCTCGAAATGACGTCGTTTTGGTATTAAAATATTAAAAAAAAATATTTATAAAGACTATTATAATCTTGAGATAAATTAAAATTACAAAAATACCCACATCGTTATGTGCTTAAGGCAAATAACTTATCTGCGTAGAAAAAAAGAACCCAAAAAATTATCTCCTACTTTCTTTTTAATCGTTCTGCTTGTAAATAAAATTGAACAATCATAAATCATAATCCGTAAAAATTAATAATATTAAGTTGGTGACAGTAATTTTGATGCACCTATAGTTAGTTGATTATGCATGGCCCAAATACTTTAATGAATCAATTTGAAGTCTACCATATTCCAACCAAAATCCAATTTAATTGAAGCAAAGAATTTGATTGTAATTTGTTAGGAAAAAATTGAAAAGTAATAAATTTGATTTGTTTTTGAGATATAAGATTTTGAATATATTTTGAATTTAGAATTATCAGATAATAGATTGATTATAATCAATTATTTTTATTTTATATCAGATTATCTTAAAAAAAATTAAAATCATATGATAAAAGAGTTGAATATTTGAATTATTTTGATAATACAAAGAAAAAAATGTTTGTCTTTTTAAATGATATAACCGTGTGTCATTTTAAATGAAACAAAGTTATTTTGGTGTTTAATTGAGAGTTTTTTATATTTTCTCTCCTCCACTTTCTTTCTCTTCCTAATTTTATGGAGAGAAAAAAATGTAAAAAATTATCAATTATGTATTAAAATAACGTTGTTTATGCATCAAAAAAACAGTGATATAATTTAAAAAGTTATATCATTTAAAAGAAGACAAATATTTTCCCCTAATACAAAGTGAGACCGGAGCATTTTTCTTATCTCCCAATTTTTTATTTGGACCTACTATTTCTATGCGACATCAAATTATAATTTTTAGTTTATTGGTTTTTTTCTATAAAAGCTAAAAAGCGATAGCATAAGTATTTATTTTTATAATAGTAAAAATAAATTGATTTATTATCTATTGAAAAATTTTAAAAATTACAATGTCTTTAATATTCTTAATTATTTGTCATGTTTTTCGAAATAATTATAAAACATCATCAACTACGGACTAGATGTATGAATAGTTTTATACAAATATGAAATAATCCCCTTAATATTTTGATGAGTTTTCTGTTAGGTCGATTTTTATTTGCTTGAACGCTCAACTTTGCAAGCAAGAAAATAGGAGAAATTATACCATTCTTTATAAATAAAAACTCTTACTAAATTTTGAAATTAACCTTTTTTCACCATCACTAAAAAAAGGAGGTTTTTTTTGTACAAAACAATAGAATGAAATATCATTTAAGAAAAAGGAGGTTATAATTAGGAGTGTAAATAGGTTAAGCTGCCCTACATGGGCCTACGACCTAACCTATATCAGGTCAAGTTTGGCTGATTACATATAGTTAAATAGAGAAGGCCTAGGCTGTTAAAAAAATTTATTTAAAAAATAGGCCGTAGGCTTTTTCTTACATATCGGGCATATAAGCCTGCAAGTCGGCTTATATCATATTATTTATTCTAAATTAAACAAATAAATTCATTAATTTAATAATTTTTAATAATAAAATAATATTATTTTAATTATTAAATATTTAATAGGCTTAAACAGATTAAAAGGCCGGCCAAGGCTTTTGTTTTTTAAATATAAGTTAGACCAAAATTATAATTTAGGCCTACACGAGGCTAACAGGTCAGGTCATGCCTAAGATTTTTTACACAGTTCTAGTCTATTTAAGTTAAAGTCTAGTTTAGTCTAACCTATTTATACCCCAATTTATAGTTATTAATTCTTACAACTAAATCTTAACCGTTGATTTTCGTCGATATAATAGTTATAATTTATTGGGTCATGTTTATTAATTAATTATTAATTTTCAATAAAATATAACCGTTAGATTGATAAAAATCATCGGTTAAGATTTGATAGTAAAAAAAATAATAATAACTATAAAATAGTGGAAATCATGTAATAAAAAAGGGATATATTTTTCTTATGTTGTAGAAAAAAAGTTACCTCATGTTGTAGAAATAAAAATATAAGTAGGATCCACATGTAAAAAGAGAGAGAAAAAAGAGTGGTGGGACCCAACTTCTTGTTGTGTGTGTAAGAAAGTTGTTTATAACCCAATAAAAAAGGAGTCCTAAAACAAATCTGTCATGTAAGACAAAGCACGTCATTACAACTGTTAAAGATAAAATTGGGCCAATAATTCGGTTAACGAGGGCCAGATCAGTGTCTTTAAGGCCCATCAGTGCAAGAATGGAGGGTAGTTCCGTCATTGCGCATTCGAGGTAATAGTTTCTTCGCCGTTCGTGGGCCACAAACCCTAACCCTAATTAGATCGATCCTATTTATAAAGCAGAATCCATGCCTCCTCTGCTTATGAACCTCGCCACTCTCTACGGACTTGACTATTAGCGTTGGTAACATGTTAGTTCATTGTGTCTTCGATTTTGGATTTCTCGTCTTTGTGTGTCTGACGTTGGGTAACTTGTTTCTTGTTCATTTTGTTCTGTTGTCTAGCGTTTTTTGAAGGCAATGATGTTGAAGAACTACCTATTTTATGAGGGAATAGAAAATCGTCCCTTTATGATTATAAAATTACCAATGGATCCTTCTGAGCCTTCAACTCTCTCTTCTTAATTTTTTGGTTGTTTCGTAGATGGTAGATAAATAATAGGAGATGATAGAATTGCTACATTCTTTTTCAATTTTTGAAATCCAAAGAAAAGAAACAAACGGAGACGCAATCGAATGGAACGAGCCAATTGAGGTGATGATATTGTCTTCCGAATTCATCTGTGTCGACTATAAATTATCAGACTACAATTATCTGATCAATTGCTCACCTATTCGAACCCCAAAAAAACGTTGTATTTTGAGAAAAAATTTAGACATCTTTTAATATTTTATTTTGTTTTGCAATTAATTTAATTTTTTTACATGTATTGCAACATCCTTTAAAAATTTAGTTATGATAGTAATTATCTTTAAAAAAAAAAAAAAAAAGTAGGATCTTTGACACGAGTGTTAAATTTGTAAAATTTGAAATTTGACTACTTACCAAGAAACCATTCCATCGAATTGAGTATGATTGTATGTGTGATAGCATCTACTATACCAGTAATATCAATGAACCATATTATTGAAATCGCTCAAGATACCCTTTTTTAGCTCCTAGAATAGAATCTATTTCTTAGTTCAACTCTTATCTTACTAACTGGAATCAAAGAATTAGTAGATCTGTTCCGCCTACGCCCAAAATGGGAGCCATTAGGTAAAAAAAAAAAAATCAATGGTGTAACATGCTTACCAATAATCTTTTTATCTTTAAAAAAATTATTAATAATACCAATTTTTTATCAAATGATAAAGTTTTATGCCCTATATATTGAAAACATAAGTAATCCTCTTGTTTTTTGCGCAATTCTCTTGTTTTTCTGCCCTCCATACCTTAAATAATATTTAAGCATCAAAACTAGATGTGATTGTACTCCGAGGATTACAATTATTTAATTCCCCAAATTAATGGCCAAAAGTCTTAAATTATTCCAAGTCAGTTATATCTCCTCTAACCAACAAAACCACAATTGTATTGAATTTATTCAAATTGAGCATGACATGTTCCAGTGGTCCACCTACAATGTCTGCCCACATCAAATTACACACAGATTGTACCTCTGGAAAGTTCGATGAGATTATCTCAGAAGCAATCCCTTCAATATCTCCCGAACATGAACAATTATGGTCTGGTCCATGTCAACACTCCAACTACCTTAACCTTGCTGATTTGTTATGCTGGGAGAAATATGTGACATTGCAGGATCTACAAGTGAAATGCGAATTTGTCTTTTACACATAATAATAATAATAATAATGATAATAATAATAATAATAATGCCACAGTTAATTATATCATTTGTGTATGATTTTTTTAAGTGTGATAATTCCTTAAATATATTTTAGGATTTGAACGATAATAGATCCTTTTACATGTCAAAATTTTATGAGTGTCAAAAATTTTGTGTCTATTTCTTTCTTCATTAATGAAGATTGAATTTCACTTATTCAATGCATGTGAAAAAAGATATAGACACAAAAAATTCACTGAAATTTTAGTATGAAAGGATCCATTACCTTTTCCAAGGATAAAAATCACTTGTGTTCTCTAATCTTATGTTAAAAGGGTATAACTATTTAATTTCAAATTACCGCGCCATTTGTTTTACCTTATAGATGTTGATATATGGAGTGTTTCGGAAACCAAGGCACGAACTCTAATAAAACTATAGTTAATAAAAAATATTAATGAATTTGAATAAAATTCATTTCAAATTATTTTATCAATTACGCCCTTTTCAGTAAATTGCATCTATTCCTTAATTTTGAACTTAATATTGACATTTAAATTTAATGAAATCTCCCTTAACATACCTCTATAACATCTTTATGGTTAGCACGATTTCAACAGTTTTCTGTAGTTCGTGAAATTTCAAAATTTTCAAAGAAAATTAGCCAGATAAAAAGACATAAAAAATACCGAACTAAAAGCAAAAACAATCCTTTTTGTGGTGAATTTTGGTTTTTTTTTTACAATTGACAAACAAGTCAAACTCATGATATTCTAGACACTGCAACCGCACTAACTGTAATATCATCCTTATCCTACAGTTACTTCATACTGAGGTCTACTTCCATCTCCACTCTCCAATCACCAATATGAAAATCATTGTTATCAGAATGCAACTCTATACATCCCGAAAATTAATGAGTCAGATAAAATCCCTTTAAGACCAAATCAATGTGAAGAGAAAAATCATCGTCTCTGATCATGCCACCTTTTGTTCCCCTGCCTACCAGGGTCCCCGTGTCCAGAAGAACCCCGCTGCCTTGACCATTCAGGCCTATGATTTCTTACATTATTCATTCTGGACTCTGGGTAATTTCTACCTGGAACATACCTAGGATTTCTAGTTGGGCTATTCTCTGGACTCCATGATTCAAATTCTTCCCTTCCATTATTATTTCTATCCGAGGAACCAGATTGCATGGACCCCCCAACCATTGTGTTATAGTTGTTATGATTTCGTTGAGTATGATATCTGGATGACATATCCTGCCTAATTCTCCACACATCTGACACAGGACCTGATTTTTCGACTTGTGGTGGGTAGGAATGTACAGTGTTACGATAGGAAGGTTCAGTGAAATGGGCCTGCTGTGGCAAATGTGGATGATGTCTTTGTTGTTGTGTGGCTGAAAATGATGGCGTTGGTGAGGACAACATGAAGGATTGCGGGAATGCGTTAGGCAAACCCTCTTGGACACTCAAATTAGGTACTGGTTTAAAATTACTCGTGCCATCAGCCCGCATTGCTAGAGGTGAACGTGCACCAGGTAAGTTAACTGAAGATGCATTTGCAGTGATTATGTTCTTCATAGTTAAACCTATATCCAAGGATGGTGTTTGAACATGCATAGAGGAAAGAGCGTGTGGTGGTTGCCTTTCAGGAACGATATTTGTTGCCTGAGGCCGTGAATATTGAGAAACTGTTGTGCTGGTGTGCTGCTTCGAAGATTGAAGCACAACTGTCGGCTGTTGCATCACTGCAGAGCCAGTTGCCGGAGCCTGAGATAATAAGTTGGTAGTTACCACTGTGGTAGAGCTCTGCATAATTCTGTCGGATTCTAATCTTCGCCGTGAAAAAGGGTTCTTAGAAACTTCGGTGCTCCATCCACTCTGAAAAATTGATAACATGGGAAGCTATTAGTTATAATTAATGACTATATTAATGATTTCAAAGTTTTTAGCACGTTGACAATTGTAAGGAAATAGCGAGGAGCAATTCATGCATTCTGGGCCAGACTAAGGGTGTAAGCAATGTAAATAACACAAGCATCAACCTAATTGCCTATTCAAAATACAAGCAGAACTACTCCAGGGAACCCTATTAGTAGCACGAAAATTTGTAAGACTAAACCTATTGGATTCCCTAAATTGGCCATATGCTAATATAGAATACTTTTTACGTGGCATCCAAGAACTTGAACGCGCAACATCTTGACAAAAGACAAAAAAAAAAAAAAAAAAAAAAAAAAAAAGAGAACAACTTAGAAATTAATTTATTTCGATCTCAATTTGGGCCACCATGGAAAAACCCATTTCCCCCAACACCCTATGCTACAAGTGCTATCTGCTTTCCACACTCAACACGTCCAAGCCAACATGGCTAAAGCGGAGAGTGCATGGCACTGTAAAAGGAGACATCAGACATGATGATAAGATCTTTGACAAATAGTTGCAGTATGAACTCAAATCACGCACCGTTCTTGGATCGCTTGAAGGAGTTGGAGATGGGAGAGAAATTTCCATCTTCTCTGGGACCTTTGCACTCATGCCATAATTGCCATTTTTATTTTCACTTAAACCCAAGTTCACACCACCTCTCTTGATCATGTCAAGCAACTTCACGGTTTCCTCAGTTGGAATGCTGCCAGCTTGTCCAGAAGTTAAGGCAAATACCAACTCTGGGTTCTTTAGCAGCACGGCAAGCAATTCTAAATCAGGCTCAGCAGTAGCTGCATTATCGGTTGAAGATGTGGTGGCCACCCCTTGAACAGCATGAGATGCAACTTGATTGGGGGAAACTGCTATTTCTGCACCATCAACATCCGGTAGCTGTTCAATAGGAATTTCCAGTGTCAAAGTGTCATCATAGTCCATTTCGATGTCCCACGGCTCCTTGGGATTAGAAGGCATCTCCTGGACAGTCTGATAAATAGTTTCCTTGTCCCTGCGGTTTCTGTTTATCTGGACATCAACCTCTTTGCTATTTTCACCAGCACCAACTCTCCAGGTATCTTTAAGTTTCACTTCTGCAAAAAGGGAAGAGGAACCAAAAAAGGAAAATTTTGAAAACTGAAAAAAAATTAAAACGTAAAAGAAAGACTTGATTAAACGATTTACAAGAACCACAAAAACGAAAGCAGAACAAAATTCGTATGGCAATTTCACTTCTTCCAGGATTACCACACAAAATATAAAGGGAGAAAGCAAATTGTATACAAGCATCGAACAGATGCTTTGTGGCTGCAATAGAATAATAGGCACCGCAGCCAAATTCAAGAATGAAAAGAGATACAGGAAAATTTCAATATCAAAACTGTATTAAGGTTAGCTAGACACTTATCCATGACCTGTTAACCTGGTAAATATCTAATATAAATAACTTAACTCCATCAGATCATTTGCCAATTTTACTTAAAATTACAAGATTTACAAACTTCCATAATGAATTTAGTGATAAATAATCAAGCCCCAGGAGCGGCAAATCAATTGTGTTTCAAGAGTTGAAAAGGAATAAAAGAAAATGTGGCTGGCCACATTCGTTTAGAATGACAAATAAAACGATCCCACAGCCCTTCATGTGTTTTCAGGATTGAGATTGCTACTAACTTGTTATTTTCAAAGGGTGTAGCCATACACCAGAATGTTGCATAAAAGTCACCAAAAGAAATGGACAACTGCTTGCAGTTTACGGTCCCTGATTATTACAGCCAACAAAAATAAAGTCACACGCCAATAAAGCCTCAGATGGGATTAGTTCGATGCTAGAATTCTTATCATGGCAGGATGCATTTTACATATCCACCGAGTTTAAACCTTCAAAGTCATACCCCACAACCAAAACTACTTTGTAGTATAAACATGCAAAGAAGACGCCATGAAAAATATCATAAAATCCTCCACGCCATAGATAAAGAACCAATGCTCCATCCAGATCTGTGATCATGATTGCAAATTACAAAAATAAAATCGCTACATCAAATGTATCATATTTAACTTGTACGATGAATATTACATGGAAAAGTTCCTTTCTGGATTCGGTAATCAAAACACAGCCCATTTTTATTCATTAGAATCAAAAAATTGATATCTACAGTGTAAGAGGCCGTATGGAGTAGACAAAATTAACTTTGAAAGTTTACACTGTTCTCAAGAATGCCTATGCTAACTTAGGGAGGGTTGGAAAGTTAAAACCCCGGTTATATTTTAAGAAATTCAGATTTGTATATTCTCGTCTTTTATTTGGGCAGTAGTACCTCATACATTTCCATCACTACTATGCATCAGTAATTCAGAATCATGTACTGATCCTGGTGCAGCACTGAATTTCCCTCTTCTTTGCTCATTAAGCAAAAATGAAGCGACATATATTAATACTGGATCACGCCCAATACTATTTTATTCCCATGAGCCACGGCAATAGTATAAACTGTAAAGGAACAGAGAACATCTAATTGCGATGAATACGGAATTTTTTACATGAAATTCAGATAGTAATACTATTGCTTTTAAAAATATTTTAATAGTGATCAAACATGCTAGAGTCAATTTGTAAAACTGGTCCTTCGTCCCTGCGACCAACTTTTCAATATTTACGACTTAGCATAGCTCGTATAAAGTCAATTATCAAGTCCTCAAACGAGGTGGTTTAAAGCCCATTCTTCATTAGAGATTTAGGACTATCACACCAGTTTAGCACAATGTGCAGATAAGGCGTCGAAAAAAAAATCAATTTGGACCATGGACCAACCTTTGGGAGAAAGGGAAGATCCTAAAATCCTCAAACAAATCCGTGTGAGTATTTGAATCTTAAATCCCAAGAAACAGATTTGTACAGTAATCTTCTATTAATCTCTTAACATTGTTAAAATAGTAAGTATATACAACTGCCCAATATACCCAACAGAACATGAGGTCAGAAAAGGACTCCTGCTCTATTTATATAAGGTAATAAAAGCTGCCAAAATGGGATGGGATCAATAGTGTTAGCGTCAAAGGTAGCAAAGAAGCGTCTGAATAGTCCTCCAAGAATATGTGCAGGTAGAGACTCGACTAAGATAAAGTATGTGCGAATTGGCGTGTACAATTTCATCAAGTATGACGCAACAGTCATTAAAGCAATAAATCCAAAATACATAGCAGATTATTTCAGCAGGAACAGTAAAGATGCTTGAATTTCTCTTGGTGGCGTTGTGCTGGCCATAACAGGTTCATATTCGTTTTCACTTTGTGTATAGAACTCCTAATCATTCATTCTTAATCTTGTGCAGTCCATAACTCCTCTAGATATGATTTCTTATTGCAGAAACTGCAACACTATTTGCTGATGTTGGACATTTCACAGTTCGGTCAATACAAATAAGTATGAGCTCTGTGACATACCCTGCTCTCATATTTGACCAATGTGGTCAAATTTTGAACATTTTTTACATTGTAATGATATTTACTGAGGCCTGTCCAGCATAAGCCAATATGAGAGCAGGGTATGTCACAGAGCAAATACTTATCTGTATTGACCAAACTGTGAAATGTCCAACATCAGCGAATAGTGTTTCAGTTCCTGCAATAAGAAAAAAGTTCACATCTTATCTAGGAGTTATGGATTGCAAGAGATTAAGAATGATTAGGAGTTCTGTACACAAAGTGAAAATGAATATGAACCTGTTATGGCCAGCACAACGCCACCAAGAGAAATCCAAACATCTTTCTCATTCCTGCTGAAATAATCTACTATGTATTTTGTATTTATTGCTTTAATAACTGCTGCGTCATACTTAATAAAAGCTGCCAAAAGGGGATGGGACCCGTAGTGTTTAGCGTCAAAGGTAGCAAAGAAGCGTCTGAATTGTCCTCCAAGAATATGTGCAGGTAGAGACTCGACTAAGATATACCTCTTTTTAACTCAACATCGGCAAATCTCTTAATATGGTCTGTTCTCAATCTGTCTTTCATTCATTTTTTTCGGATGTCAAAGAGTTTCACCAATTTTTTTATTCTTAGATTATTGGCATATAATTGATGGAACCAACAAAAAAATTGCAAATATACCTGCTGGTGTTTTCCATGGGATTTGCACCCTCTTACACTTCTCCCAAAGAGGTTCCTTCAAATCCATTTTCATTTTAGAACAAGAAGCTTCTGGTCTATTAGTTGTTTTAGAGGGAAGCAATGGAGTTTTCTTGTCATCTTCAATTTTGGGTGGAACAGGAACTTTAGATGAGCAAGCTGCAATGCTGCCATGATTTGTCTGAGGTTTATTCAGACCATTAATCTTTGCTTCTTTCCTTTCTTTTGTAGCACCAGTTTTCCCATACTTACTCTGCATAAATAACGCGCGCATTTTTGCTTTCTGGATATCATCAGCAGACATGGGACGGCCTTGACTTACAGGCCCTGCTCTTGTCACCTGCGGGTTTCTGCTCACTGATTTTTGGCCTGGCTGCTCCACCAATTGCACTTTTCTGCGCTCTCTAGATTCTGATAGGGGTTGAGGAATATGAAAAGAGATATAGTCTACATTTAGCATGACTCAACAACTAACATGAACCATTGGCAAATTTATTGAGTAAACCACCATTTTGGTCCTTGTAAGTTTGAAAGAAATTAATGAACCCACCATCATCACTCCAAAATACCATTCTAAGGTTTTATATAAAGCATTTTATTTCCTGTGTTTGTGATTTTATATGCTTATAGAATATCGATGGAAATCCATCAGCATTCTGCCAAACTTTATGAAGGGGAAAAAAGGAAGCAGTAAACAAGAAATAGTCAATTCAACAAAAATGAATTCCAAGGATACGAGTTGAAGATACACCAAGGGTGGGCTTCTTATTAGAATCATCCGAGCTGGGTAGCAACAATTTCACAGCTTGTGGAGATTCCAGTTTCCTGAACAGAGAAGAAAAATATGAGCATTTTCACAAGTAGCAAAGGCAAAGCCAATTAACTCAAATAGATATGGCACAATAACCATACAGGATTATCGGCAGAAAGACTAATTCAGTAAAAAATGACTAAAAGCAATCAACCTAAACATACCTGAAATTATCTGAACATTCATTTGAGAGAGCAAGAATGTCCTCCTGAGATCAAGAACAACTACTAAGAAACATGCAAACTTAAAAGCCATTGCCAGATGAAATGAATGTATATGTTTAAGAAAACACTTACAGGAACATCAATGTTTGAATGCCATGATTCAGAGCCTATAATTTGACCAATACTGCAATAATAGAAATCACAATAATTGAGAAAGGAGATTCATCAAATTTTGCATGGAGAAGAGATAAAGACGAAAGCTTGCCTCTGCGAAAGCATTATCTCTTTTTGACCATCGCTAGAAGGTTTAACACCATTGAGTTTCTTTATTGCCTGGTTCCTTGCTAATAATTTGCTCCACTTTGATAACAAAACCCTTGCCCTGTTTGATATGTCTGATCCTTAAATGAGTGAGATTATAATTCAAAAAGTTTATGAAGTTAATACAATTATTGGATTTATAAGTGATATCAAACAGCACCCCCACCAAAGTTAAGATTTGAAACTACTGACATGCATCAAACAAAATGTTGAAAAGGTTGAAGTGTTACATCAATCAATCTGAACATGACTTCTATAGCTCAAAGACAAAAATTAACACATATCTTAATTATTATTTGGCTGTATGAAAAAAGATGGCAGGTATCAATTAAAGAAAAAATTGGATTCAATAGTCAACTCATCCCCCCTCCCTCCTCTCTGTCTTGCTAATTCTGAATTCTAATATCAATAATGTCATTAATAAGAAGAAATTTGCCAACTAAAGCAATATGAAAACCTAGAAGTCATGCTTGGAATGAAAATAAAATCTAGTCTCCTGGTACAACCAACGAAAAAGGAAAACAGAGAAATATACAATTCTGAAATACAATAAAACAAGCATAATTGACGACTTGGAATTAGCCATGTTATTATAAGAGGGGTCGCCGGGGGCAAACAGGCTAACCACATGTTAAAGTATTTCCTACCACAAGAAAATATGTTAGACTGTTATCACATATATGCCCACAAGAAAATTAGTGTTAAGTTTGATGGACATTAGGCCAGGGAAAGGTAAGCACACCTGATGTCCTGTAGAACCGTAGTCTATTAACACTCTGCAATATAGCTGATATGTGTATAGGAAGGGCTTTATGTAAAGGCAAATGACAAAGAACCTGCAAGCCAGTTAACCAGAAAGTTTGATAATATTTAGTCATGTGCCAATTAAAGCTGCAAATATTGCATATTAACCAGAGAATACAGATTTACCTTCAAGATAAGAAGAAGGACACTAGTTTGTTCTTCAATAGCTGCTTTACTCAACCAAGTCGCTAAAGTCATTGCACCCCCTCTGGTCAAAAACCTACAAACATATAACAAAATAAATGAATCTTAAAATATAACTAACTATGATTCAACAATACCAAACAATTGAAGAAACTGATCATGTACCACAACAATACTGAAAAATTATTTATAGTCAATATCCATTCCATCAATTTCTCCTGCCCAGAAAATGTTTCCTCTTTCTGCATTAGACTAAAAATGTTATCAACAAATTGTTTATCTAAGTCATCTAGATCAGACAAAGCTGCTTCCTGTGTTGAACAAGATGCTTCTTCAGCATTGGTGGGGCCGACAGAGTTTAAGGGCGCTGGATTTAACGGTCTCACAGGATCAGAGTTTATTTGCCCATCATGAGGTTCTTCACAAGAATTAGATCTTAATGCCCTCTCCCTTGACAACTGAACTAGTCTTCTTACTCTTGATCGTTGACTAGTGAAAAAGTCACGTACCTAAATACAAAGATCAAAGACTCATAAAAATTAATGCATAACAGGAACTAGGAAACATGTAATCTTTAAAATAAAATTTACACCTCGAAATGGGTAGTGATAAGAATCTAACAACAGCTGGGGAAGGATAACAAACTAAAAACAGATGAGTAACTACAAAGGAGCGAAACAGGAAATATATCTGCATAAAACATCTTGTTTACATATATCACTCCATAAGGACGAAATAGAAAGGACTAAAGCGCAAGGGGAGAGAGAGAGAGAGAGAGAGAGAGAGAGAGAGAGAGATGTAGACAGGAAGTGGAGTAATATAAACCTGAGTCACTGTGACACCAAATAAAGCACTGATCTCACGAGATTCTTTCTTGCTAATTGCATCTTTAATGGAAAAAACTGATTGCATATAATTTACAGCCTTTGGATTTAATAAATCCCTAGGTCTTTTTCCTGCAAGATTGGATTAAATTATAGACACATCAGACACGAAACAAACAGCAGAAAGATTTGAAAAAATCCTAAACAATGCTTAAAATAAGGCAGACATATTTAGAGAGAAAAGAGAGAGAGAGAGAAACAATTCCAGTTTCAGTTCACTCATTCCATCTGATTAAATAAAGGAAATATTTAATACCAGCATTGACAGTTACTTAGAAGTCATAAAGAACAAAGATTGGCTGGAAGATTAACTCTAATAAACTTGGATATGGAATAGAAAAACACTATAACCAACGTACATTTGAGAGATATAAGCCAACCATGAAATATAAACATCAACAATACTATGCAAGAAGGGTCAAGTTGGATGCCATAAAAGTGAGCCCAAAAATAAAGATAAAAATACGATCAAGCATATACGTCAATTATCAATGTTAATTAAATCTTCTCAGAAAAAATAAATGATGTTCTAGACAGAACTTACCAATTTTTATCGACAGAGCTCCAGCTGCCTGCACAAAAAAATCAAATGTTTCAGAGCAGTTATTAAAAGAGCAATTACTTTATAATAAAAATTCAAAATAAAATAAAATTAAAAGGTTTCAGAACAGCTCCATAGGCAATAGATAAACAACCAAGACAGAGAAAGCACACCATCTCTTGAGAGAGAGGATTGACGCCGGTGAGATTGCATTGCGTAACGACGATTTCCTGAAACTGATCGATCTGGTTATGCAATAACTCTTTTTGCGAAGCCAGAAACCTCTGGAACGACTCCACGGAACTCCCAATCTCCACCTCCAGAAAATCGTCGTTCCAGACCTCCATCGTTGATAAGAAGGATTGAAGTTTCTTCGCTGCAATATGAAGCAGCACGCATTTAACTTATGCGAATTGAATCCCAACGTTTGTCTCTGGTTCTCAGTTGGGAACGGAACTGGTAGGTTAGGGTTTGGATTGGAGCTAATTTTGGAGAGAGAAAGTCAGATAGATCATAGAGAGTACTGAGTCGGTTGAGATGAGAGAGAATTAGGCCATGTTCGGGATTTGGCTGAATTTCAATAATTACTTTTGACGTGATTAAAAAATTAAAACAAAGCTGTTTATTATTAACGCACCTCATAGAAACAGATAACTGGAGTCATTTGTAGTCCTTTTGAGTGTGTTATTTTAAAAATACATAATTTTTTTCCCGGAAAACAATTATATTAATTTTTTAAATAAGGGCATGTTTCAATGGAGCGAAGTTACTATGCTGAGCAAAAAAAAAATTGGGTGGACTGAGGAGAGAGAAAAGGTTGAAATCTCTAAAAAAAAAAATTAATGCAGGTGTTAATTTTTTAGTGAAAGGACTGTGAACTATATTAAAAAATTCTGTTTCAATTTTTTTTAAGGAAAAAATACTTCTATTACAAAGTTTGTTTAGATATACATTAAAATAAGTCAAAAAAAAATCAAAACCTGCTTCTTCTTTCTAAGTTAAAAAATTTAATTTTGAAAAAAAAATAGAAATTAAAAGTCAGATATGTTTTTTTAATCTAAGTATTTTTTACTTTTGTAACAAATATTTTTAAATAAGCAAGGACTTTACAAGCTTGGCTCGGATCGGTCAGGTCGTGTGTGTGAAATAAAAATAAATTATTTTAAATTATTTTATTTATTTTTGTCCAAAATGTCCCTATCCGAAAAGTTGCTTCCTGCCGGTTTTATTTTGAATCGAAGTGGTGCGCTCAGTTAAATATGAAATGAACCGGTCACCGGTTGTAATGATTTAATGTCGTCGGTCGCAATGGTTCGCCGGCGGTAGTTTATTGTGTCTTTCTGATGTCATATATAGACAATGATCCCTTTAGAAAATTATCGAAATTTTTTGCATCATCTGCCGAATTTTTGTTTCATCCGTGCATGCTTGCATCTATACTTTCTGGTGTGATTCCTCAAGAATCCTGTTGTGTTCGTCCGGGCTTCTGATTGATAGTGACATCGTTCTGAAGACGTCAATACGTTCTATCCTAGGAGACAAGTGTTCATCAACTTTCGACTTCAGTAGAAAAACAAATTATCTTAAAGAAACAATAATGTTGGGCTCGGATTTACTCTGCATACTCACATATCATCCTTTCCATTGATCAAGTTAGTCTGTTCTTAAACTTTTTGTTGTACTTTAATTATACTGTTAATTATTATCTCTTATATTATACACACATTCGAATCTATAGGTAAATTTTCACCCATTATCTTTTACAACAATGAATAGTCAGAACGGATTAACGGGTCACCCCTTGGAATATTGTGATAAAGAATCCTATAGAGATGGAATCTCACATGACAAAGGATGTTTGTTCTTTTGGATTTAGCTCAGTCAATGAAATGGGTTGTATAGATGCTTTGTAAATCAAACATTGTGGTTATACCCTTGATTAGCTTGAGTATGTCGAGTATCGTGCTTTGTTTGGTTTTGATGATAATAAATATATGGGGCCATGTCACATTTGATTCTTGAGTTGTTGAAATTTTGTTGTAAGATTTAATATGTGATAAATTATGAAGAAGAGAATTCAACAAAGTTGTCATTGAATTGCGAAGATCAAATATTTGATACGAAACATTAAATTCCTTATAATGAGCGAATGAGGCAAACAACAATCTTGCTTTAAATTGCATTATCTTAAGGTTTAAAAACTAGGAAACAAAGATAAAAAAAAAATAAAAAAAAAATAGATAATTTTAAAAATATGATTTTTAATTTGGAAAATAAAAAGTTAAATAGTAAAGTTTTACAAAATACTTTTTTCAATGCACATTTTTTTTAAAGATAATTGAGAAGATTTCAAATCATGATAGTATTGGAAAATAAATTTATTGTTGAAATCTAGGAAATATTCTTATAACCAGCTTTAGAAGCTAAATGCTTGATCCTATTTTTAAAAAATTAATTTTTGGAAAGTTATTCAAATCATGATGTTACTGAACAATAACCGGATTTAAGACAAAAAGTTTATAAAGTCTTATTGCGAGTCATTGAGTTCTCCTTCATTAAGAGCTTGTTTGGAGCACCTGATAAAGAATACAGGATAGGATAATATATCATATCTTACATTTTATCTCTTGTTTGGTGGGTCAACATGATATGATTAGCTTATCCTATTGTCTCATTTTATCCTATCCAATACATGATTTCTTATCATATGGGGAAGTTGGGTTAGGATTCAACAGGATAGGATACCAATATTGGATACCCAATATATCCCCACGCTACGCAATATATTTATATTTATTGCATTATATTTTTTTTTCTCCTTTCTCCTTTTACATAATTTTATCAGATTGCTAATCAGGTGTTCATCAAACACAGGACATGATTTCAGCTTATCAGCCCATATCATATCCTACCCTTATACTATCATGTCCACCAAACGAGATCGAGTTAAGACAAATTGAGAACAAAGGCTTGAAGAGATTCATTGAATTCCCCTCTTAGGTTCGTTGTTGACGAACTCGGCAAGTGTACCGGTCGTACAAGTAATAAAGTGATAAGAAAGTTGTCGATCCCACGAGGACGAGGACTGATGACCAAGCAATAATATATTTATTTAATTAAAGTTGGATCGATCATTAAAGATTTTCTTGAGAATATTGTGATTTAATTAAAAGCAGAATTTGTAAAACTATTTTTGATTTTTAATATTTTAGAAATTAAATTCACAATTTAGAATACTATAAATTGATTTAAGATTTTTAATAAAAAGGCGTAGTTAGAATTTAACTTCCCCAATGGTTTCTTAACGAGTTTTCCTAATCTTACGATTACATTCAAGATTAAATTATTAACAGATCTTTCTATAATTGACTAAATCTCAATCGCTTGGTAATTTAATTCTTTATTCTAATCCAAAGCCTAATCTCTTAGTACTTTTTCACAAAATAAGCATTAACGCAAGAACTCACAGTTATAAAATTCACAAGTCTATCCCTAGATCATGCAAATTCCAGCAATCAACCAATCAGAATCACATACCAACATCCTTATTGTCATATATGACTCATATGTTTATCTACGAGTGATCAAGTCATAAATAAAACTAAGCATAACTATCAGATTGATTGCATAATTTAGAAACAATAATGTAATTCATAAGAATAAACAAACATCAACTAAGAACCCATTGGTTTTGTATCTTCCTATCTACTAAAATAATTTAGCTACTCATAATTATAAAGGCAGAATTGAAATAAACAGTAAAAGAAACTGAGTTCATGATAAACTTGTCTAAAAGTGATGACCAATGATGCAAAAGTGCTTCCTTCCTTCTCCTCTGCAACGATCCAGTGTTTTCTTCCGCTCCTTCCTTTGCTTCGTCTCGGTCTCTGACTCTTTCTTCGCGTTCCAGAATAAATTTCACGGCTTCTTTCGCTTCGTATTTAAAGAGAAAATGTGGGCTTCTGAATTTTGGACCCGCTCGCTAAGGAGCTCGCTAAAGCGAGCAATTTTTGTCTGTCACCCAATCACTCGCTTTAGCGAGTAGCATTGCGAGTTGCTCGCGCACTTGCTCGCTTCAGCGAGGAGCTTTGCGAGCTGCTCGCCCAGTGGAGCGAGCGTTACAATTTTTATTTTATTTATTATTTAATTTCTGATTTTCTCATTGCTCTGCGGATTCCATTGTTGCCTCGTGCTTATCATATTGGCATTTTGTTATTCTAGTTTCAACAACCTGAAACAACAACAATTATTCAGAATCTTCTATTTGTTGACAATTCATTTTGTTTTACTGCTTTATTGTTTTAACACTATATTTTTAACCATAAAAACATAGTGTCTTGGACACTTATCATTCGTCTTATATGTATTTGCTTACTGATTATAAGCCTCTAAGATAACATTAAAACTATTATTTTGTTATCTTGAATTCTTGATTAAGTTAAATATTATCGGAGTAGAAAATGTGGGAGCAATTGTCGAGTGAAAATTGGAGAACTTGAATCTAAAGGTTAACTTGTTCTTTTCACTTAAAACTATTTTGTGTGTGGATAAAACATAGGTATCCTCAACGGGATGCAATCATGTTCGAGTTGAAAACATCCACATTATGGTGAGGCTAATTCTTCTAAAGGGAAATCTTTGCATTCACAAAGACTTGAACCTAAGACCTTGCTTAAGCAGAATCAAGCATATACCACTTGAACCAACCCCCTTTGATATTTGAAATTATTTTAACTTTTAGTATAACAATGTAATTTTTTTTCCCTATCGATCCAAAGAGTTTTTCCTTGTTAAATTTTTTGTGTGCTTTATTCTCGTTGTTGTTATTATTCTTAAATTTATTTAGAATTAAAAAGATATTAATGTTTTTCATGTTACATGAGTTAATTTTATCTTACACATACATAAAAGTGTGTGGGACCATGTGGGGTCATGTGAAGAGAAAAAATAAAAATAAATCACACACGCTTTTATATGTATATATGAGATAAAATTATCGCCTACAATATGAGAAACATTAATCCCAATTAAAAAACTCAATTTATCTCTTCTTCTTTTTTGCGACTTGGACAATTGGCTGTTGATCAATTTGAAGAATGACAACAGCATGACTTATGATGCGCCTTAGTCATTAGAGTTTGTTATAACGACAGATAAACATGTAGTTTATCATCTTTTAAGAGCTATAATCACTCTTATATTTAGTCAAAAGTATGAAAATTCAAGTTATTTGGCTAAAAAACATGGAGTTTGAATTATTGATTTATGTGAACGATTTTTGCTTGCTTTGTAGGACAATTGAGTTGAATTAGAGTATTGGAGCATTGGTAAAGCTATAATGACTTAAAACAATAAATGAGGAGCAACCATCTAGTGAAAATCTTCTTAAAGTTATCTTTCAGCCAATTTTTCGTATCCAACATGATGGATTTGGATCTCATGTTTTTCATAAAAGTTGTATATCTCTCTTTCATCTTTTCAACGAGACTAAGATCATATCGATTAGATGAAAATATGAAACCATCTTTTTGTTGTCAAAATAGT